CATGCTTCCATAAAACTGCTCTCACCAGTGTGGCCCGTTTTATTTTATCTTGTCTCTGATTACCGTAACATTTACATAAAACTGAGGAGGAAACACAAGCATGTGCCTGATCATTATGGCTAGTCTAGCAAAACAAAGCTAAGTAAAATAAATCTCACATTATGACTTGCTCATTTTATGGGATGGCTGTATGCCTAGGTGATTCTTGTCTGTGAAGGTCTGTGTTCTGTTCTGTCTTTGTACTAAATGACAGTCCTGAGAGCTGAACTTAGTTTGGATTAAAGGCACTGACTCCTTTGATTCACTTACATAAGCTGTAAGTTAGCCTATAAGTGGTAAGTAGTGCTTTTTTGCATGCAGACTTCTACAATAGAGGTGGATTTTTTTTTTTTTTTGCCTGTTTTTGTTTTAGAGGGAGAGGCAAGTGGGAAGGGCTAAACTAAATGAAATACATTACAGAGCTCATATTAGTGCCATTTAAGCAGGTCCTTTTATACTTTAGCTTAGTTCTATATAGAATTACATATTTTAAAGACATTTTTCATTTCTGTGGGCTGCCAGATGTGCTGCTGATACCTTCTGATCTTAGATAGTTTGACATTGATTTTCCTAGCACACGCCAGGGTAGAAATCTGGTCTGTAACTCATCCAAATGATCTATTCATAACAAAAAGTGCCTTCTGGCAGTTGCACCACAGCTGAATATTATTAAACTGAATTCATCATTTCATTTGTTTCTGATTGCTCTATAATGTTTACATATCTTACATATTAGCGTGGTCTTCTATAAAGCACACACTGAGGTTAAATCCTCCCAGATAGAAATTTTTTATCCTTTTTCTCCCTTTCAGAAGGTATTGAACTCTTTTTTTCTCTTCAGATGAGCAGGAATCTTGGAACTGCTTAATTCTCATCTCACCTGAAATGAGGGGCTGAGCAAGTAGGAATGTTTGTCTTGGGGATACATGGAAAGGTGACATATTCCTACACAACAGAATTCTTCCCCATCCACAAATAGAATAACTGTGAAGTGGAATTGCTTGTCCGAGTATAATAGTTCTGTAAGTAAGCAGCATCACAGATGAGAGCAATAGTCTCCATGTGAGTATGTTCAGCTGACATATTTATAGATGCTGCTTATGACTCAAAGTGTGAATAGGTTCAGATTCTTCTCATCTCCCATCTTCAAATTCCTGCTGCAGTGATTGATGTGCAGAGATTATTCTGATGTCTAGCAGAGGATATCCTCTGTATTTTTCAGTTTCACTATATGTAAAAAATAATAGACATTAATATGCCTCACAATAGGAGTGTGTCACAGGATGAATTTAGGTTAAATAGAAGGCAGAAAATCTGAGGCTCCTTCTGAATACGTATTTTACCTTTCAAAGAAGGATGACATCTCTTATTTGCTTTAAAAATGAAAATCAATTGCCCATAGATCTAAAGCAGATGTTGTTTTTCTACTAAAAAGATTAAGGATTTTCTTAAGCTCATTAAAGGAAAAAAAATGACACCACACTGATCCTCCTATATCACCATAAGAATATCTGAAGGCAATAGAAAGCTATGAAAAGGACATGGTATTAATGTAACAAAAATAGCTCTGAGTCTGGCAAATTGTGCTTATCTTCTGGATTCTGCGGCAAACTTTGCACTATTTCTCCAACCTTACGCTCATGTCTAGTCATCTGTTTTAGTGGGATTGGGTGGTATGTATACTGAAGCAGAATTTAGACATTTTATTATGAAAATTCAAATGCCAGCTGATGAATGGCTTGAAAAAAATCAGCATTATCCAAATTATTTCAAGGAGGGGAAATGGAAATCATTTCTTATGCATATATCTATGGAAGAATGTTCATCCTGTTGCTTCTCAAGGATTGTGTGTCTGTTTTGGGGAGTATGCTGTTTCCCAATTCTCCCGCTTTCCATGTGCATCAAAACCCAGAGTTTGCAAAATATAAATGAGAGTCTAAGTGGAAGGGGGAATCAGGAAATCTGATGATGCCATAGCTGGCACCAGTAAAGCCCAGCATGATAGCCAACTTTATTCCAGTTAAAAGTTCTCACAGCAGAAAAAAAATGATAACCTAGTACCCCACTGGCTACATTCATCAGTGTGGCGATACTCAACTCCCTTGTTTGCTCTGTTTATGTGTTGAGAGTTTGCTGGAATGCATACAAATGGTACTTCAGTAGTTGGATGATCGGAAAGTCTCAGTGTAATTTGAGAACCAGCATGCAAATATCCTGTCCTGGCAAATTCCTGTGGTTGTCCAAAATACTAAGCCAGAAGTACTGGCTGCAGGGAGAGTTTGGTCTTTTACTCAATCTAAACCTTTTAGTGTTATCAGACATACAGGACAATTTGGTAAATTGTGGGCTAATGATAGAAGAAAGATTTTTTTTTTTTCTTTTTGTGTAACTCTATTGTCCTTCTGGATGTTTAAAACTTCCTGTGTATTCACAAAGCATCTTTGTGCCTTTAATATCCTTAGACTAATTGGTTTCTTCAGACTACACAGCGGTTGGATTTTAAGCTTGATACGTCTCATGTAGCTAGATTCTTTCTTCAGAAATCACAGTAGAGTGCAGAATACTGTGAAGTTTGCTGCATCAAAAATATTTTGAGATGAGACTTCGAAAACCCAGGTCCTAATTTCTGCCCTAAATGTTCCTTCCCACCTGTAGAGACATGCCTTGCATCCACAGCTTTAGGATGGGAATGAGACAGGACGCTTGTGTTCTCGGAATAGTTCCATCACTAGTTTGGAGCAGATACTAACCGGGAATTTTGACCTTATGCTGTGTTCTCAGTAAGGTCAGTGATGTGGAATTGGTCTAAAAATCAGGTTATTTTAGGATTTGCTTTCTGTTGCACTTCCTTTTGTTATTGAAATTGTAAAAGAAGGCTTGCCCCATAGAGGTGTTGAAAACTCAAAGCTGTATTAATTTGTAGTTTTAAGAGAAAACAAAACAAAACCAAATGTCTTTGCAATGTTTTTGACGTAGCTTCGTCCACTTGGAGTCATAAATGCCTTCTTAAATTCAGTGCAGCTATTCTTGCTCTTTAATGGGTTTAGCCAGCCAAAATCTTACGCAGACACACAAACACATGTGCACGCATACATCTTCAGCAAAAGTAAGTCAGCGCATTAGAGCTGAGAGCGGAGAACTGAGCAAGATTCTTGTATTTGTTAAATGTGTACCTAAGAGAAATCAGGATTGCTTGACAGTGTAGCGATATATTTTGAGAAACCAGTTTTTGTTGGTTTGTTTTCCTTCTTAACTTCGTGACAAGAATCAGCTGTAAGTTTATGGCTTGCGCAGACTATTGCTTGTGGAGCAACCTCCCTGCTGGTGTATTTACTAAACATGTGTGATGCACAAATGCCAAAAAACTGCATCTTGGAGCATATTCCCTAGTTGCTAGAAAAAACTGTTTTTCAAGTTTGGCCTGTTTAAATATAGGGAGAATGTACATCAAGTTTGACAGGAACAGGCCTGAATTTTTAATTACTCCTCCCCAAAACTATTTTGACATGAAGTCCGGGCTTTATTGAAATCAATAGCAAACCTCAAGCATCCCTTAATGGGTGTAGATTTTTGCTAATGAAGAGCAAGGTCTAAATACAAAAAAACATTGTCCCATTGACTGAGACCTTTCTTTTTTGCTGTTCCAGACTTATTTTATTAGGAAATTCTCATGTTTCTTAGAGCACTTCCCACCTTCTAGACAACAGTTGCAGATTTAGCCTTCCCATTAACATGGAAATGCATTCATGCATCATGTGATGGTGTAGGACTGCACTGCTGTCCTCTTTTCCCAGTGAAATCATGGCTGCATATACCTCAATTGTAACTAGTCTTTGTAGCAAGTACTAGGATCCAAGTTCCACTGCCCCACTCCCCATTGCAAGCTGTGCCTGACTTGCTAGACTAGATGGCATGTGTCTTTACACTTTCTTTCTGGACCAGAATGGAAGCCCATAAAGTCTATCTAGACTATTGAAAGTGGAACAGCTTTATAAGAGGGAGGAAAATGCCCTCCACCCTTAAAAACTGGTAATTTGCATCTTCTGAAGCAGAGAAAGGAAATGAACCAGTGTCTCCCACATCCTGAGTGGTCTAACCACTAAAATACTGCATAGGAGCAGGATATCACTGTATATGTGGGTGTTATATTTGTATGCAAGTGGTAGAACACAGTCCTGTTCAGTTTTTGGATGGTAGTGCTTAGATATCTGCCTTGATGAAAGGGTTCACAGGTGTGAAGGAAGAAGTGATTTGTGTAAAGCTAAGCCTGAGTAAGGGGCAGAATCTAATGTTTACCCAGGCAAATGTTTCCTGTTGGCTAACACAAGCCCAGGTTTGCAGCTTCTACCCAAGGCACCTAACTCTCCTGACAGCACTATGAGAGCACTGAAGCTTGGCATCCCACTGCAAGCCTTGGGAGTTGATGGCAGATCTCAGGGGACCATACTGTCCTCTGTCAGCAGGATTCCCCCTTGATTCTTAACTCTGAAGACATACAGGATGAGTGCTCTGTAAACACCAGTTGCCGATTACATTGGCTGTATTTTCTGATGACAGTCAAGCAGGGTGTTGTATCCAACAGTTTATTCTAAGTGAGGTGTTTTTCTGGAGAAACAGGGCAGTTTCTCTCTCCCTGTAAAATACAGCTCCTGTCCCTGAAATTTCTTACTTTCTGCATGGCCAGACCCAGCTGTTCTGTAAATGGGAGTGAGTGGGGACAGTTGTGCAATTAGAAGCTGCAGCTGTGTCATCTCATCTAAAAATGATGCAAATGGGGAACATATTTCTCCAAATTCTCCTTAGAGTAAATACCTACATATACATCTCCACTCATGTTGGTAACTCAAGTGGAGGAGCAGGAATCATTTCGGTATTGGACTCTATAGCTGCCAAAAATTAGTTGTGAAGTACCTACTTTGTTAGGTAGTTTGATTCACTAGAGCTTTCTCTTGCTTTTCCAGGTCAGTGAAACACCCATTTTTGTGCCTGGTGTTTGGGGACCTTATTTCTCTGCAATGGTACCTGGATTGTGGTTGAATGAAGGAGGTCAAAGTGCTACAGGAAAACTGGTACGTGTTTGGAGGCACAGATTCCCAGATGGGAGGTCTGCCATAACTGCTGTCATTTGGGGTAGCTTCACTGTCAGTTCAGCCAGAGCTCTGCCTGAAACACCTCTGTAAGATCATAGGAGATACGATGCTGCTGAAAGCAGTAAACAATTAGTTGATTGTTACATGTCTTACAAACTGTTACAAACTGACAGGGGATTATATATGGGGCAGAACACTAAGGGCACATCTTCCTTTTATGACGGTGATAATTATTTTTATTATTTTACAGGCAGACAGGCATTCATTCTTCACTTTAGCAGGAGGCTGAGATAGTCTTTGAGATAAAGAAAATGATACATACTGTGTTATATAGAACAACTGTGCTTATTGATGGGCATAAATGAAGGATGTATTGTATGGACGGAATACTAATACATTAACATGCTACCCTGTCTAGTCTAGATACTGCATATATTGTCACCTCAACGCTTTCCCTTGAGTCTAACTATATTAGGTTAATTTAATTTTTCAATAAAAATGAAAACCAGACTGGATTCCCTAAAAATGAATTTTCTTATTTACAGGGCGGCAGTCAGAACTAAAACACTGATGTCAAATTTAAAGAAAGGTTAGACGTATGAGACAGTATTTAAGCTTGAGTACAAAAGCGTCAGCAAGACCTCAGTGGCTGCTTAACCCTGGAAGCTTCTAAAACTCCCCATGTGTCTCCCTCCTCAGTCTGTAGAAATACTGACTGCCCTTGGGAGTGAAGTGCCAAGCTGCTTTTGAGAAAGTACAGGAGGCGGGCCCAGTCCTGTGGGTATCCTCTGTAAGCTCAGCAAACATACAGGTGGCTTTGGCCTTTCATGAATTGCAGGCGTAATTGCTCTCTTACTCAGACCTAGCACCACCCACCTTTTTAAAAGCCTAGTGATTGGAGTACCTGTCCGGGAAGTAGTAGATTGGGGCATCACTGCATTTATAGATTCCATATGGAACAGTCATTGAATGAGAAACAGAAATAATCCTGGATCACAGGAAACACACACCCCCCCTAAGTGCTAAGCTATTGGTGTTCCCTCCCGTGCTCTCTCCTTGGCCACGTGAATCTGACGTTCCTCTCTGTACAGTGTCACAGCTTCAGCAAAAGAGTCATCCCTCTTACTCTCCTGCAACCTCTGCTTCCCATCCTGTCTCCAACCCATCCTTAGCCTCATGGCTAAAGCACTTTTGCAGCAGGTGGGATGTGTTTGCTTTAAATTTTTCAGGTCAAGGTGGGGCTAGAACCAGCGTCCCATTTTATAGGTAACTTCTACAACCAGAAGTAAAATTAAATTACTGCTCATAACACCACCACTTTCAAAGGAAAATGGCAAATCTTGTGTGCTGCTTTGTGAGAATGCTTTTGAGAGACATCTCTATGTGCTTAATCCAAAGCAGGTGAAGACACTTAACTAAGCTTTAGAGAGGATACAGCAAGTTAGTGTTTGCTGTTGCCTGGGTCAAGGTGGTTCCACACTTAAAATGTATCATGAGAGTTAGGGTATTTCAGAAAGATTATTTTAAAAATTTTTTCCATTCTGGTAACAGAGAGCAAAATATTCCTGAGTCACTAAAGAAATTGCTGGAAAAAATACATGGTCTTCTTAGGACCCATAGCAAAACTCAGCTGTAAATACTGTTAGGTATATTAGGGGAGCTGTTTTACTAAAATGTTCTTAGAATATCTCATGTGGTTTTCTTGAGGTTGTATGTACTGAAAACACATAGGGAGCCATAGGAGGATACAGTGTATGTACACACTAGTGTGGAGGATAGGTTGCATTTGTTATCTTTGTAATTTTAAAGCTGTAGCCTTTTAAGACCCTGCTTTCTCATACTTCAAACTGTCTGAAAACGAAACATGGACATGTTTTGTGATTCTTTTCATTGCTTGATATATGCCCAAAGGTGAATTCTTTTCATGAAATTTGAACAGCTTGTTGAACTTCTTAAAACTGATAAACTTCTCTTTAAAATTCTCTAATTAATTTTTTATTGTTACAGCTGTAAAAAAGTCTGTTGGATTTTGAAAATTGATTCAGATAGAGTCCAAATGACTTATTTTGAAAATTCGTTTGTTTGTCTATTAGATGGGCTTTTGCACTGGATTTTCAAAATTTATAGGAGGAAAGATAGTGCATAACAGAGACAATGGCATGACATCAATGCAAACTGTAAAATAACAAACAGCAGAAATGGGTTTCTAGATGCAACCCTCATGTGGCCGTGTCTTGAATTAAGGGCATTTAAATATCTAAATTCATAACTTCTGTAACATTTTTGTGTAAAGTGCTTTCATATCACACATACATATGTGATACTTATTTATAGATTTAAATTCTGAATTTATGAGCTGCTCCTCTGTTCTAAAGAGATCATGCAAGACTGCAAAATTCAGGCCTGAGTTTTGTCTTTGATGCAGCTCTCAGAAAGAACAGGCATGCATTATTTTTACTGCTATGTTCAGATGTGTATGCTTCATTATGTGTTTTCCTATATTGGTTAAGGACTAGATTTAGGCTGTTAAAAAATAAGTACCTAAATGTGGTTTACTGCCAGTAGGTATTGCCAAATATACTCAGTGCTCTTGAGTAGCTCTAGTTTTGCCTCCTTAGCTTTTACTGTCACCTCTGATGGGGTATTACCAAAAGGCCACAAACCTTTCTGAGTTATTGTCTTTAGAAGTGCATGGTACTTTGTTTTGTGAATAATGACAGCCACTCTGGAGTGGAAGGACAAGCTGATTTATAAATTTAGTATAAGACATAGCCTATATTGATCTTTTTTTATAGCAATAATTGCTTGTCAGGGTATACATTTTGGTTCCTGAAATGAATATATGGAGCATCTTATCAGGATGACAACACACCTTGTGTTTTATTGTAACAGTGTGATATAGAAGTAGGGATTTGGGCCAAGAAGATGCTCCTGGTAGAATTCCAATGAGGGTATGCATGCAGGAGAATGGCTGAGACTAGAAGACATGCTCTCAGGTAACGTTGGACAGGAAAAAAGTAATTGTTTCAGCTTGCTCTTCTCACCAAGGAGCTGCCTGCATAGCATTTTGCCTATTTTTGGTGCATCGGTTGTTTTTTCTTTTTTTAAGCCAAATCTTGAATCCAGTAATGTCAGTGGGAATTTTGCCATTGGCTTCTCTAGGACTAGGACTTAACACCTCATGAGTAATTTAGAAGCTCTCTTGTCTTTCTAAAGTTATGACACTACATTACCCTTTTCTGGGACCAAATTTTTAAGATGTAATAATTCAAAAAATGTTGCTTTCCTCTTTTTCAGATAGAGCATGTGGTCCGAGGCCATGTCGCCTTCCCGGAATTACAGTCAAAAGCTGCAGACAGGTCACTGTTCTTATTCCCTTATCACAAAACTGCCTTACAAATTGATGATACACTGTATTCCCAGCAGTGCATAATTGCCCTGCTGTATCCTTATTCTGCAACAGGGGAATTAAGAGTCTGATAGTGGGTTAGAAGTATTTACGAAGGCTTGCCAGGTGATTGCTCAAAGATGAAGGCTTTAAACTCCCCTCAGATACCTTCAGAATATTTAAGTGGTGATATTAACTTCCTGCTTTTCAACTTCTTTTTTATATACAGGCCAGGGTATTTCTTTATACCATAGCATCAGCCCTGTTCAGCAGGCCTTTATGCCTTGAGCTAATGATTTGTCTTAATTTGTAGGTGACACTATTAAGCTCCAGGGGTAAGATACAGCTTAATTAGGAATATATTATTCAATATTTTTGGAACAGTCATCTATAGGAAGGAATAGCCACTCTGTGAAAAACTTCTGCATGGCAGCCCAAATAGAACAGAGAAATACAGGATGAATTTTCAGACAAAACTTAAGATGTAGGAGTGAGTTGGAGGTAACTCTGGGATTCCTTGAGCCAGACATTGTGTGCAATGTGGAATTTTAGTTTGGTCTGCTTTAGAAGTGAATGAAGACAGTCCAGACACTTCTATCATCAGATCTGGACTTTCTCAAGCTGCTTTGGCTTGGATTCCTTTTAAGATGGTTCCCATCACTCCCAAAGAGATCTTAGCTGAACAGTTAGGTACACTGGATGTAAATTTTATTATCTTTTAATTTCTTTTTCCTCCTTAGATTAAAGAAAAGAACAGCGAACTTGGCATTTTATCTTCAGTTTATCACTCTGGTCTAAAAGACAAGGGTCAGTCCTGATAGATGTATTAAGCACATGCAGTTACATAGTTATTTTCAGTCCTCCCTAGGGGAATAAAGCTACCTGGTTTCTCTGGATGACCCTTCCATGCTTTGTTGTGCCCAATTCCTTGCTTGTTTGTTAAGAACTTGACCAGGATTCCCAGAAATGTATTGGACTTCATTCAATATGAAATAGATTTATGCTTCCTAGAATTCTCTTTGTTGTTCTTTAAAAAAGGAAATCAGGAAATAAATGCATCTGTGTATGTTTGGAATAACGATTGATAGGGTTTTTTTCCAAAATTTTGGCTGCTAGGCCATTTTTCCTATGCCCCCATATGAAGCACAAGCATAAGAGAAACACTTAGTCTGTAACACCAGGATAAACTGGGGTTTTCTGTGTTGGAAAAATGAGTATAGAGTAGCCTGCTTGTCTATACTAGGTCTGATACTGAGCTGACTGACCACAACTAATTTCATAGTGCAAAAAGCTTGGATTGTGATGTGAATAGGACACTAAATACAGAATACCAGGAATAGAACTCCATGTTATTTGAGTGTATGGTGTCATAATTTTCGATTTGAGTCTCCTGCAGTTAGTAAAACTGTGGAGGATAGCATTGACTAAAAAAAAGGTTGTAATATTTTATAAAAAGGATGAGAATATTTTATAAAGTTAATTTGCTCAATGGTATTTTTATAAAGCTTTCCAGATATTACTCTCCTAATGAAATGTTTGGATAGCTATAAATGTAGTAAACAAGTATTTTATTAATTCCCCTTATCCTCCTTTTCAAATGTTCATTAAATTTAAAGAATTTAACTTGAACAAACAAAAATCAGGAACTTTGCAATTTGAACTGAATTTTTCTCCTTATTTCTTCATTTCTTTCTACACATGGAGCACAAACTTCAGCCTTATCATAGGGACTAGTAGCAGCAGCTATACAAGTGTGAGGTGTTTTTTTAGTGAACAATGGTGGCCCAATTTTTGGGTTATGTGTTTACTTACATTAAGTCATATACTTGATAATAAGAACATAGGGTCTTGTTTTGGGGGATCATTGGTGATGATGGTAAGTTATTTGCCTGGAAATCTCAGCAGAATATTTCAGGGAATCTGGTTTATTATGTTTAGTATATTCTCTGTGTAGGTGTAGGAATTTATATCTGTTCAGCCACTGCAAGTGGTCACGGAAAGAAAACAAAATGAGAATTCCATACTTAGGTGTGCAATTGCATATTACCTTCACTTCCTATGCTAGGTGCAACACTGTGGTGACTTAGGCTGGTTCTGTATTGACAAAAAGCACATGCTGGATCATTAAAAAACAAGATCTGAGGTCACAAATCCATGCCTCTTTACTTGCTGCTGCCTATCACCTACTTCTACCTTCCGAAGCCTGTCTTTCCTTTCTCCCAGGCTCCCAATACTGCTAATAAGGAGGTTTGGTAATGGCAAACTGCCTGCCGAGCCACTGATCTCAGAAGCTTCACTGTGCAGACTTCTGTTCCATTGCCTATACCAGGAGCAGGAATTTGCAAGCTGTGTTTATCACTGTTTCAGTAACTTGTGGTCACTTGTTAGGGCGCGAGCTGCTTAGACAGACTTGCCAGAAACCAGCTCCTACTGACCACTTGTGCGCAGACCAGTCGTGTGCAACCCTCCCAGTACAATTCCTATATTCTCTTTTCTCTTCTTTTACTGGAAGTGGAGAGGGTTGAATTACACAAGGATTGGCTGGACAGCTGTAAACTTAGCATTTGGTCCGACTAATTGGCATACTCTGTGAGCAACCACAAAACTTGTTTTCTTTCAAGCAGAAATTGCTTTGTAGATGGAACATTTGGTCTTCAATCTATATATTGTGTAGGTCTGGCATCGAGCCAATGCTGATATGGTAAAATCCAGTATAGGTAGGCTAAAGTAGCAAATAAAAAAAAAAGAAATAATATGATCATTTATGCTTTAATGTTTAAATACTTCTGTTTTCTAGAATCACAGTTTCTAACTGTTTGACAGCAAAGATTGGATGCCCTTTGGCACTTTGTGAAGCGCTGTGTTTTAGGACAGAATTTCCTTTCCTTCACTTCTCAATGCCATTTCCCCATCTAAAGAGATAGCTCCTGAAAAAAAAGTGAAGTGACACACACATTATCTATCAGCAATTCTGGGATCTTTCAGGCAGAATGCAATAATCATATTTGGCAGTTCTCTGTATCTCTAGATGTTTTAGATCCGATTTTTTTAGATTTAGAAATCTAAAATGTTTAGATTTTTTTTTTCCTGAAAGATACCTGCTGGCATCTTCCAGGATTCCTGAACAGATTCAATACCAACCTCTTGTTGCTTTCTGAAGTTATGTCCCTACTATGAACATAACACTGGGCAAACTTGCATTGATTTCTTAGTCTCCACTTTCAGTATAGTTCCTTTTTAACAGCAATAGCTTGTGCTCGACTCTGCAAGTCAGATCCAGCTGCTACTGATACCTTCTCATAGAACTGAATAGAAAAAGCTCCAGAGAGCCGATGGTGTAATACTACATGTAATGCAGACTTGGTAGAAACTGGAACTGGCAAGTGTTTGAAGGATTTTGCCAGTCGCTCAGTCCAAATATAGTGCCTTGAACCCATATCTATATGAAAAGAAAAGGTAAAAGGTGTGAAAAAAAGTGTCATTCCAAGGTTATGTGGGTCTAAGCATATTTGGCTGAACTTCAGCCTCTTCTGTACAGCCCTTGTGTTCTGTCAGAGCTGCACGAATTGCTAATCCTTGCGAGAGTAATCAAGCAATGTGGAGAACAGATAGAAGCTGGGATGTCTGATAGGTCTGTGGCTGAGTTAAGCTTTCCTTTCTTTTCCTTACCAACAGTCAAGCCATGACTTAGACTGGAAATAAAATTACTTTGTCCTTAGCACGTACTGCTTATAGTGCAGTCTTTAGGGATGTAGAAAATAGGGCCACTTTTACAACAAGGGGGAAAAAAAATGATTGTGACCTCAAAATTATCATAATTCAGGTCCAGGAAGACACATAAAGTACATTTTAAAGTACGTGAATAATGATGTGAATTAGTTATTTTAATGTTTTCCAAGTGTACTTCATTTTGAATGATATCCTCTGATAGCATACACATGGTAAGGTATAATTGAAAAAACATGCAGCTGAATGGTTGAATGCAAAGTATAAATATACAGCTGCTAGCAGGTCAGAAGTCAAACTAGTAAAGCATATGCCAAATTCCCTTAGGGATCTCATTAGTGCATGATTGAATATACATGTAGAGGCTAAATGAATATCACTGTTTGGGTCTACAGTGGATGAGACAATGACTAATCAATTGTAATTAGGGTTAGATGCTATTATTGACCCACATGTCTAGAATTAAATGCCCCACTTGGAGATTTCCAAGGAGTTGAAAAATATATATGAATCTGCTTATGATAGTATGAGTGTTGGAAAAAATATTCTGAGCGTAATTGCAACATTTTTTAAATGGAATGTCACTAGAGTCATTGCAAGCCAAAGCACTGAAGAATTCACCATTAGTCCTAAGATTACTCTTGGTCCAGGAAAAAGTCTGTTGGATATTGTGAAGTTGGGTGTAGTATCCGAACTTAGATACAATCATATTTAGGCCCATGTTCAGCTCCTCCCTAAAATAGCAACCACTTGCTTTCTCTCCTCCACCCTTAGTGCTGCATTTTAATCATAACACACACTGAAATAATTCTGGTTTAAAAAAGGAAAGCTGTAAGTCCAGTGCTATTGATTAATCAGAGAAATTTTTAAACATTTGTAAAGGAATTCGATTTTCATTTCTGTCTGGAATCCTCCTTGTTCCTCTCTCAGCTTTCTTTTCTCTAGCTTTCTCTTTCACAGCGTCAGCACCTTTCTGTTAGTGACAAGCATCATCAGCCCCCAAAATACCAAACAGCTCTGGCTCATCTAGGGACCCGTAGGAGTCGATGTGCAAACTCAAGATCACAAACTGCCATTATCTCCCCTCATCCTGTGGGATCAAGGAATTCAGATGGCCTGTTGAATGGGTGTGCAGATAGACACTGCCCGCACCCCGGAATGCCATGGGCTCGGCAAGCAGGCGTTTTTGCCTTTCTCCCCCTTTGCTTTAAATTTGGGATTTGGCATTCTTTGATGGGTTTTCTGCATTTGATGGTAGTACAAATGTTTTATGTTTGATGAATAACCTCCCCCACTCTTTCTTCCAACTTGTTTTTCTTCTAGTGCTCACAGTATATATACATACTTGAACAGTCACCTGGATCTGATTAAGAAATCTTTGCCTGTGGGTTTCCTCACTGTTGATTTACATGTTTGGCCAGATTTCCATGGTAACAGATCTCCCTTAACAGATCTGACACTAAAGGGCATGGTAAGAAACAGCCTGTCTTTGCAAAAAGGTCAATACAGGGTAAAAAAAAAAAAAAAAGCTTGGAAGGAGCTTTTTTCCAATTTTGAGCATACTCCTCCTTAGCTATTTAAACTATCCCATAAGATTCGGGTTCCTTGTTGCATTTCGAAGTGTGCTAATGTTTTAATAGAAAATGAAGATCACTGTAGTTTAGATATCACTACGGTCACATTTATTTTATAAAAATATGAGGAGTGTTGTGTGTGTCCCAGTATCTTTCCTAGGAATCACCTTTCAGAGCACTGACTAGCAGCGCTTGCTGTTGTTAATTCACCTGTATACTGAATTTTGCATAGCTGTTGCAATGAATTTCAACACAAATTTGGGTATGGCTATCTGGGAAAGGAATGAAATATTCTGAGGAGAGATTGCTTGATTTAAACAAATAAATGTTCAGTAAATGTGCTGTATTAGAGTTGTTGGGTAGTAAATTTCCACAGAAACTGAGAAGCTCCTCTGCTTATTGTTAAAAATGGGCATAGATGCTCTCATGATTGGAAATATGCAATCATGGTGCTTCATACATCTTTGTTCAAAGGTAAACCTGATCTGATTCTGGCTTTTGGTTTTAAAATTGCTGCTTTGGGAACTTAAAGGGATTGAAATATTGTGGTTTGTACAAAGAAATTTTCAGAGAGTTGCAATCTGGGACCAGAAAGAGCAGTGTTTGGAAGCTCACCAAAGAACCTCTGCTGGGGAGATTTTCAGACCATCTTTAAATGTTTGGATGTTTATTTTCACTGAGCTTCATGGTGGTAGATCAGCTAGGCAACAAGCCAGGATGTTACTGTGGAGAACTGTAGAAGAAGAATATCATAACGGTATAATTTGATGATAGCAAAATACCTGGTGATTGATGCAAAAATGTGCTTCAAAATGGCATACTGTCCTTGAAACAAGCATCTCAAACTAGTCACCGCACCAAAATCCGCTGTATTTGAGGTTGAGGTAGGAAGGGGTAGGCGTGAACACTGCAACACGTTTTAAACCACAAACGAGGGAAACATTAAAAAAAATAGATGGCTGATATATTTTTGGTTCCTAATAATACCTGCATTATGAAAAAATTATGTGCTGCAGCAGAATCAGAATTTCCTTGGTATGATGGCTGTATGCAAATACTGGTAACAGCAGCACATTTTTTTTCTGCCACAGTTATGGCTGCATTCAGGTCTTGCCTATTCTGATATTAATCCAGAGTAACTACAGAGCAGTACTGATTTATGTCAGACTAAAGGAGGTTAAGGTGTAGTCTTTAATTATTAATTGTGTTTCAGTGTTAGGGTTCTTGGAAGGGAGGGAGAGAAATGCTTTTAAAAAGTTATTTTTATGTAATAGCATTTTCATATTATTACATTAAATACATTCACGAGCAATATCTGAGTCATAACATAAAACTGTCAGAGTTAATCTATCTCTAATCCCATACAATATGCTGTTTGTTCTTTATTTCTTTGCAAGGGCAAGAACAATTTATGTGGTTCTTCCCCAGATCAAGAATAACATGTTTAACATAACATTATGTGTACAGCTCACAAAAGTAGGGCTTAGAATTAGTACTTAAAACTTGTTGCAACAAGAAACCATAGAAAATAAGAGAGTTTTACTTTGGCTGGATTTTTAGGTTTTCTTTTTGATCTTTGCACAGGTTGTTGGACTAACATTGTCTCGGGGTCTGGATGAACTTGCCCTTATCTACTTGGCCACGATTCAAGCCATTGCTGTAAGCCATTTTAAGTGCATAAAAGAATAAATGAATTGTCTCATGTTCTGTGGCAGACCAATCATTCCCTTCTGCTAAACGGATTTCTAATAATAGATGAATTCACTTAATGGGCTTCTTAAAGGAGCAAGATATTGTTTACCCACACTGGTGACTACTCCCTACTGTATGGTAATCGACAGACTGTGGAGAAAATGTTCCTCTGAAAAGTTTTCTTCTTATGGCAATTCTGTAAAAGGAGCTTTTGCCTCTAGTGCAGATGTGAGGAAAGAGGCTGATACTATATGGGGCAGCGTTAACATCATGGGCTGTGTGAAGGGAAGCTGAGAGAGTGGAAGGAAAAAGCTTTGGCAATTGTATGAAGGAACTTGTGCTCCCCTAAACTGCCTCAGCTTCAGATTGTTCCTAAATCCATGGATTTCCCCTGCTTAGATGAGTCAGAACTGTACCACAGCAAGTCCGAGGGGGTCTGTGATTCAGTTCATAACGCTACAGACCGAAGAGCCCAGAACTCATTCCTCCCTCTGTTTCCCTGCTGCAAGGCAAGCAGTTGCCTCGTGCATAGCATTTCCAACCTGTGGCTGTGTTTCTGTAAAAGCAGACAGAGCAGCTGTCTCTATGAAAATGTCCTCGATGTCTGCTAACATGCAGAGATGGGTACTTTTATTGGAATACGTTTGTTTCTGCCCTGATTTTCTCTGGAACCCAGGATTTCCAGTTCACAAGAAGTTCTGTTTTGAAGTGAAACCCTGGGTCAAAGAAGTTGTTTTGAAACCCTGGTGCAGGGTCTTTTCAACGGGGTGTGCTATCCCCAGGCGTTTGGTGACTGAAACCAGCATTCCTTTGACATCCTTTTTGTGAATTTTTTTTTTTTTTTTAAAGTTTGCTGGACTTGAGGTGTTTTTGCAAAACATTAACAGTTTGATGAATTAGGAAGTTTTCCTGACAAAACTCTGTTCAGTTGGAAAACTTCCAAACTCCTCTACTGGTTAAACAACAACTTTGCTAGGCTGGGTCAGCCACCTGGGATATAGAGGGTGGGCGGCTGCTGTAAATTTACTGTGAATTGTACATCTTATGTGTTAACCCTCCCTCTTCAGCAAATAATGAGAACTTAACCCCAGCCTGGAATTCATTGTTGTGAGTTTTGATCGTTTTTAAGATGAATGTAGCTTGGTTATACCTGATGCTTCAGTATAATCCCACCATTTAAATAAGAATGTCTTGGAGAGTTTAAACAATGCCAGCGACTGGTACTGCCCCCTGAAAGAAACTTTCCAGTATTGAACAGGTGCTCCGTTATTGTATCGTGCTAACGAAGTGGAAACGTTCTCTGCTGGAAATCCTGGGAAAGTCATCTATTATCTCATTATATGATACAACTCAAATTTTATTCTAAGACGCATATACTGTGTTGAACACTAAATTCAGCGTCTGCATATCTTTTTGATAGCTAATTGCACTGATCATGAGATTTAATATGAAAAGGCCATACCGTAGTTTTCATTGTAAGTTAACAGAAATTCATTTTTCTTAAAACACTATTGAAACAGTAACTAAACAGTAGACAGAGTAGACTTGGTTTTGACTTGCTATATTTACTAACTGCTAATGTGATACCTAGGAAATTTAATTTTCCTCCCATGCTCCATCATTCCGAATTTTAGCTTCACTGTTGTTGAAGGAAACAGTTCTTGTTCAGGACAGCCCCAATCCTGTACCATTAGCTGTCTTCAATGGGTGCAAGATAGACTTTAAACCTAAGTAAAAATCTTGTAAATAGTGTAGGCCTGCCCACAGAATGTTAATCTCCAGTTTTCTTTTCAGCTGGTGACGCTTTTTTCTTTTTATATAAAATTTGCATTTGAAGCCCCTCAATTTGCATTTTCTCCAATCCAGGATTAAATTAGTTCCCCCCTACCCACCCACAGTGAAATAAGTCTGGATTTAATTTAAATTGCTATGTGAATACAATTTTCCAGGCAGGTAAACACAAAATAATTTTCACAGCATGTTCTTTCTCAGGGTCTTTGACATGTGTATGTTGTGAGAGAAGTTGTTAAAAAATTTGAATTTCAGAAGTTGTAAAAGAGAATATCCTTTTAACTATTCATGGCAAAATGCGATGCAACAGTTAGCCTGATGAGAACATGATCAGAGATATAATTGTGGCCGTCAAGCCCGTTCTGAGGAGACAGACTCTTTTAGAGCAGTTTATTTTTCCATAATTAAAATGGTGGCTGTGTGATTTGGAAATTAGCCCTCTGTGTCAATAGGGAAGCGATGGATTTAGTCAGCTGGTGTTGCGGCTGCTAAAGTTCCTCATAACCGCTTGCCTGAAAAACCAAAATACATTTTGAAGGCCTATCCAGAGTGGTGCCAGTCATTCATAGTAAACGTCTCCAGTTTGAGGAAACTCTGCTAGCTTCAATTTTCAGTAGCTTTTATTTGAAGAGGGGTTTATTGCAGGCTGCAGACCTCTTAATGAACTTGCAGCATAGCATAAAGAAAACTTAAATGACAGCTTGTGAAAACTTTGACCAGATTGTGTTATGTGGGGAATCTACCTACAAACAGTCGGCTTGGGTGAAATTTTGGCTTGAGTTTGGCATTTTGTCAAGTCTGAGCTTCAAAATTAACTTCCAAGGTATTCTAAGGAGCTGGGAATTATTTTTGGACAAATAGTTTGTCAAAGAAATGGAAAATGTTCTTGCAAGAGGAAAGAGGGAGAAGGTTGACTTCAGTGAGTAGTTGGAGGCAAGCAAAGCAAACAAAAAGAGAAAAGACTTTTAAATGGCAAAGCATTTGCTTTCATCAGTCGTGGAGCAGAACACTAAGCTGTTTGAGTTTCTCAGAATGGAGACTGTAAATGAAAAGTTTAAAAATATGCCTACATTTTAGATGTTTCAATTAACCCAGGCATGAAATGGAACATTTTATTTTGCATAGGGCAAAGGCCAAGAGAAATAGTTAAGCCAATACAAAATTCTTCAGGTTTTCCTTTTTGCTGAAAGGACAGAAAATACAGGTTTTTATTTGCTCCTCTTTTTTTTGTTCTATTTTGCTATTTGGCTTCAGAATTGAAATCTCTTTACTGAGAGTGATTTTCAGATGCTATTATACAAAGTAAATAGAAGGTTTTGGTGGGGATGTCTTTGCCATGTGGGTTTTAGTTCTGGATCTGGAAATGTTTTCCGTACTCTGCTGCGCTTGGTCACAAACAGCTGCTTATCACTGCCATCAATTTTTCCTGGTGCCCATTGCTGTGTCTTCTCATAATCCCGTCTTCACCCTTGTCAGTACTTCCCTGTAAGTCCTATTTCCCTGTGTTACTGAGTACTGGTATGTCTTCACTTCTTCAGCCAGCCCCAGGATATTTACTGCAATACGCTGTGCCCATATACTTCCCAATTCTTTGTGCCATCTGTTTGATTTTTCTAGTTCTTAATTACAATGCCTGTTAGTGGCTGAAAGCTAAGCAGAGGCCATACCCCCACAGGTCTGTTCCCAGCCCTCAGGTTACTGGTAGGGGCAGTTAGTTGTATCATTCTTTTTAGCAAATTGTGCTTTATTGAAGTTAAGAAAAAGACATATTTTGGAAACTATGCAGGCTGCAGGGCATCATATCAACACACTGTTTCTGTGCGGTGGGCTGAGCAAGAACCCTCTCTTCGTGCAGATGCATGCTGACATTACTGGTAAGTTAGAGGAAGTGAGGGGAAAGGAGTGTAAACTACTTTCTTTTAGGTGGCTAAATACTTTGTCTTTGGAAAAATAAATACTTTCTTTATATAGAACTGTATTTTGCTGGTTGGCCAAAAAGTGTGTAATGAAATGTTACTTCCTGCGAGACTGGATTTCCTGAAATTTAAAGGCATTTGAATAACAGAGATGCGGTGCAAGCAAAGCCCCATACTTCGTATTGTTAGGTGACAGACTTCTGGAGAAACCTCCAGCATGATTTCCAATGTGTAGATCTTAGACTTACAGGTTTTTTAAGAAAGTGCAATTGAATAAATATAAAAACTTCATATGAAATTTTTAAAACGAGTATATATAAACTACATGTGAGAGATGTTTCTCACTATCAGATTTTTATATTTTAAAATTATTCTAAATGTTCTATAGAAATTATGCTATTCAATCAGATTACACTAAGTTATTTAGACAAGGATAATGCTCAATATATTTTGTGAGCATGGTTTGCCTAATACGTGTTTTACTAAAACCTCTATTAGCTTCATCCTGTTTGAATTCCACTGGACTTCTCGTGACACTTGGGGCCCATGCTGGACATTGTATCCATTATATACAACAATTATTTTCTGAATTACTTCTGTGTCTGTACCATTAATATGGTTTAGGGGACAGTTTCTGGATCCTTGCTCCTGCATGGCATTGCATTTCATTTTCTAGAATTCCTGATGGGTGGAAGGTCCTGGGTATGTGGTTCATTACAAGAGGAGGTCTCAGGCTTGCACATTTTTTTTGGTCTTACTTTAGCCTGTGTGTGTTGGGCATCTTAGCACACCTGTGAGTCAGTTGAATATACTTTAAAAATGTGGAAAAAATGACAAAATTTAGTTTAAAGGACTACAGAGAAACTTTGAATGATGTGTGTTTTGGGTATATTTCAAATAAGGCCAGTTGAGCTGTCATGAATAAAGTTTAAGGCTCAGATTTGGGGCATTTGGTCTGGAGATCTGACTTGCCCTAACATCAAACCACACTTCATAACCTCAGTGCAGGGGGGAAGATGAAAATATGCTTTATGTACTTACCTGAAATGAAAACAGAAATGGAGAAGAAGGAAAAAGCATATAATGCCTATTGCCCTTAAAATTCACTAAATACATTGCAGTCAGTGTGATGCTTTCTGTTTGTGAAAAATGATGTTGTCAAGTGCATGCCTTTCCTTGTAGAATTCAAATGTTTTAGGTGAATTTCAGCTACATGTAAATTTGGGAAGCTGGTTCATGATGTGTAAAACAAAAGATCTGTGAAAAGGTATTCTGATTAAAATGTAATCAGAAGTTCTTTGACTGTAACTAATGGCCAAGTACAATTCAGCACAAAAAGGCCTTTTTGCACTCTGGAGTTCTCCCCCATTTGTAAAATCAGTGACTGACAAGGGATGTCAGAGTTCATCTAACTGAAATGCTCTCGGTTGTGTTGAACTCATTAGAGCCTATCAGATAAAATAACTAACATTCCAGGATCAATCCCCCATTCTTTCCAGAAAAGAAAAAAATCTGAATATGTTATTGTTAGCTGCAAATGCCCATGACTCAGCCATGCAGACATCCAGTTGATAATTTTGCAGGCCACTTAAAAAGTATCTTGATCTTTTTGTTTGCCTGGTAAGAATTCTGTATTCATTCTGATGATGCGAGAAATGTGCAGTAAATTTTAGAGCATGCTGAAAATTACTTACTGCTTCAGTGCCTGACACAGCTGTGTAGCTGTAAGCTTGAGTTTTAGATTTTCTGTTCCAAGTTAACCCAAGTCCTGAGCATTGGTCCATCTGAACCAGAGGAATGCTCAGTTGACCGATCCTACTCTAATGCTTTTAAGGTGGATTTCTTTGGTCAGAGAAATTTAAGGGATGCTGTAATTATACCTGTTCGCTGTTAATAGTCATTCCAGCAATCAAACAAGGTCTTAGTGTATCCGCTTTCTTTCCCGTCACTCTGCCTGTGCTAACGGTAGGAAGAAATTGCATGAAGACTGCTGTGGCACCTTTATGTCATTGAAAGTTGATTGTAAGGAGCTTTACACTGGTGGAACAGTGCAAAGTTAGCATATGTAAGTGGATGCTTGGGGTACAAGGTGAATTTGCTTTGTATCAATAATTGTTTCTGATACTAATAATTTTATTTCTCATTCTGAAAAGTGTGTATTTGCCTTTTCCTCTGTAGGAGTTGTTCATGGCTCACTTTAGATCTACCTCTAAATTTCAACTCCTTCTAATCTTACAGCTGGCTCGCAGCAGCAGCATTTCTGGGGGTATAATATCACTGAAGGTATTCACAGAAGGAAGCCCTCCTCCCACCACTGTGTTTGCATCATCATTTATTGAATGAAATTATCTCAGTAATAGAAATGTAGACACATGCCAAGTATTGCAGGAATATTAAATTCATTGGCTTAGTGGGGATGAACGTCTAAAGTAGTAGAAAACTATTTAGACTTATGTTGTTGGTTTAGGGGTTTTTAAGGAGAATTAAGAAAACAGGCCAATTTTTGTTTATATCTCTCTTTTTCCTGCTGTTTTTACATTAATAATACAGGTCTTAGAAAACTTTTTGTGAACCAAGGGGAAAGTATGTTCATGCTGCTACACGTGGGTGATAAAACAATAATTTTTAATTCTACTTCAGAATATACATTGAGTTTGTTTGTTTTTCCAGTGTTTTATTCTTGTTTGTGAATATCTTGCACAGTTTGGAAGACAAGATTTCTCTTATGATTTCATACATAGCTTATGAAAGTTTACTGCTCATATTTTCATGTCTTCCAGCAAAACCAGACTGGCTTTGTTGGCTATGTATTTAAAAACAAACACAAACAATTTTTTTTTTGTTCATTGCAGAAGAAAAAAAAGGATACCACCCTGTTTTCCCCTCAAGGTCGACTTTTAATAGGCACATGGGTTTGGAGGGTGTGGGTAACAGGTTTATACTAAGCCCTTTAAGATAAATAGCCAGTGTCAAAGATCTGGGGATTTGTTCTTTTTATGCTTTATGTTCTGCATTAATATTTTGCTGAAATTCTTTTATGTAAATTCTGCATTTTTCTCATAGCCTGGAACCACAGAGCAGAGAGATTTACATGAATCTCCCATAGACTGTAGCTCTGAAAGGAGTTGTGAACATGGTTTTCAAGTCCTTTTTGATTCTTTTTTTCCTTGTATTTTTTGCTTTAATTATTTACTGTGCTGCTAGTGCAGTACTGCTATGTTCTTCCTAACAGAGGCATGGCTTTTCTTGTATAGGCAAGCCTGTTGTCCTGTCCAGAGAAGTGGAGTCTGTTTTGGTGGGTGCTGCTATTCTTGGAGCTTGTGCTTCTGGGGATTTTGCATCTATACAGGTATGCAGTACCTGATTATTTTTTTTTTTATTTTTTTTTCTTTGTTTTTAATGCATTTCAGTTTAATGCGTTGGCACCATGCATAGACTTTAGTTCAAGTGGAAAAGCTTGTACCTTCTGCACAGCCGGACAAGAGCCAGCATCGCTTTCTCTCCACCCTCTTTTTAACTCCGTATGTTATTTAGGTGTATTGAAGATTCATTTGTCTTTTGACTGTAGGGACATGCAGGTAGAAGCTGCTGTCTATGAAGTTAGGCCATATAATTTTACAGACAAAAAAAGGAATTTGGCAAGGCTCTGATACTGCAAGAAGGTCACACTTTCATCTTGGTTATATTTGTCCTACTTTCCTTTGTTCATATTGAGGAATGTTAAACATAAGAGACAACATAGCACTATTTATGCAGTAAAAAATGACACACCTATACCTCTTGTCTTGCCTACAGTGAATGCAGAGTTACTTATGAGGATGGAACTTAATGTTTATTCATCCTATTTCAATCCATTAAGAGTTGTAAAAGTAGCAGTAAGGCTTTTACGTTCCATGGATCAGCCAAAGCATGACATAGTTTCATTTATGTAAACAGCAGTAGTATACAAAAACCTGAAGAAGGGTCTGAATGCCCAAAATCCTATCTGGTTTTACACCTGGCAATTCCACTGGTAGAAGACATGTCCTCTCCTCATATTACACAAGGAACACAAGGACACTAAACAATACATTGCATCCACTTGGACAAAATTATTTATCATGGTCCCTATGGTGCCTATCAGGCACAAAGGTTTGTAGGTGAAATTTTGCACAAAAACTTACAGAATATATCTTCTGAATAGGGGGTCAGCTTCTCAACCTAGTTAAATTGACACAGATCCACTGGAATCAATGAACAGCTCAACATAAGCTGAGGAACTGGGCCATGGTTGGCATTTTTCCAAATGTGAAATTTCCAAATGTGAGTATACTACAGTGCAGTGTAGGTTAGCAGGAAGAGCAATTCCCTTTCATAAGAATTCTTCCATTAAAGTCAATCCCATTGCAACAAATATATAGTACAATATATATATGTATTTAATAATTCTAGTGCTTGTAAGGAGAACTTACATTGACAAATGTAATTTCAGTAGCAACTTTTGGTGATAGGAGTTCATATTTAATTCTTACTCTTCTGTTAACCTTCTGCCTTTAAATACACAGATATTTCATTTCATGTTTTAAGATGTTTTGCCCTGTTATGCAATAACTGAACATCTCAAAGCTGATTTTATTAACCATTAGAAATTCTAATGCTGTGAAATGCTGTGAAATTCTGTGATATGTCTTTATATAATTTTGCTATATTCATTTACCTTTAGTTTTTAACTGTGCCCTTATGTATAAAAATATTTCAGAAGCATATCCAATGATGTCAAAACAGATATGCATGCATATATATGTACATATATGTCAGTCTGCATAGCACACTGCTTCAGAAATCTTTTTCAGTGGAACTAGATCCTTTTCAGCCAGTCATGTCACAGAGTTTCTGATTTAAAAAGTGTTTACTCTTTTCCTGTTATGATATGGTTATGATAGGTTCCTGCCTATTTGGCTATGGGAAGGTGTTTTGGCTTGGCATAAGTACAGTGCAGGTTCTGTGGGTCTTCCTGGAGTAAACTCCTTCTAAGTGCTTACCTGTGACTGTTGGGAGATGGATTTGATGACTCCTTATGCTCCCTTCCTTTGCTTGAATCAAATAAGTTAATACGAGTACATAAAGAAAAAGAATAAATACAAATCTCAATGCAGTGCCTCAGCACTGCATAAGGAGTCTGATTTCCCAAACACAGCCTCTGCCTTTTTCAGTGCTTCAGCAGCTATTTGTGTAAGGTGTGGTTCCAAGGGTTTTGCCAGTCAGCAGTTGTTCCACTGAGTTACAGGTCAAGCCCATGGGCTTCCCTGGCATATCTCTGAAACAGAAAAGGGGAAAGTAGTTTGGAAACTACTGCTGTTATACATTCCACTGGGCATTTGTAACATGTTTCTTTCCATCATACTGCCTGTGGTGATCACTGGCAGCCAGGTGAGGGCCTGAATCCTATCCAGGGTGCCATGACATCTGTGCAGTGTGAAGAAACAACCCACTAAGTGTTTTAGCTTAATGTGTGTTAAGAAGATTGTCGTTAAAGAGGTGACACCTATGGCAATATCAGTTGTATCATGCAACAAATATTTTAGATTATATAAAAATATTTTTTTAAAGACTTCAGCTACATGAAATCAAGAAACAAGAAACTAAATAAATGTTTTTTAGGGGAGGGAGAAACGTAAATGCATTGCAGTTCCATAGCCTTCACTTACGTTTATTTTTCTACCACATCTTCCAAAACAAACCTTACTTAGAGGTGTTGCTGCAAGTATTCTGCATTGTTGTAGACTCTGCAAATAATAGAAGTTATTATCTGTCCTCTGAATAGATGGTTTGTGTTTAATTATTGTGCTTTCCAAAGCTCATTGTTTGCTCAGCCTAATAGTAATGGAGAAAACTGTGTGGTTTTTACCCTCTTTGCTTATGCCTATGGGTTTTTTTGAAGGGGAATTTTTACTGTATTTGTCCCAGTGATTTTGGTCACGTTTCTCAGAATCATTTTTGGACATTTCTACTCAATGTCAAAATCAAAATGTTTAAAAGCTATTTGGTTTTCATGGGTTGGGTCAAAATCACTTCTGATAATCTTAGTCTGGCTTTAACATGCTCAGTTGACAAAAGGACCGGCTGCTCAACAGGCACGTGAAACCCACTAGTGATAAGCAATAGCAGTAGTGCTGCCAGGCTTCTGCCAGGGAATCTCGTATGAAGTATGTGCATGTGTGCTGTGTAGTATGTGCGCAGTGAGTGATGCTTCAGGGAGCTGAGGAGCCTACTTAGCAGGGCTGTTCTTGTGTCTGAATGCTAAATCTGATGCTTTGGGGATGTAACATGCATTAGATGTTAGAGCTGACCTGCTTGTGCATTCTGTCAATGTGTGGGGTTTGGGGCATGGGGCAGCCAAATCAGAGCCACTGCTCTGGCAGTCTGCTCTTCACTCAGAAAATCTGGACACACGGAGAAGATCCTCAAAATCTACCAGGGCATCACTTTTCAATAGAGGAAAGAAAAGATGGGTCATCTGGGGAAGACCCAGCTCTATACCTTATATAGTAATTAGATTTAGGCTTTATTTAGCTCATGTTTAAGAAATGCATTGGAATTGGATGGTATTTCCTTAGGGGTAAAGTATGTGGATGTGGTGCTTGCTGTTACTCTCGTACTCCAGTACTATCCTGATGCTTAGTCCTGTGGCATTCCATCATCGGGATTTGGAAATGGGGAAGTATCTGCTTCAGAGACATTTTTGAGGATCGTTCTTCCAAGGACAGGCAGCTTGCTTACCTATGTATCGCTGTATGATGAACCCATTCAGAAGTGAATGTGAGACAACAGGATTCTCACCCTTCACTCTCCTGGGCAAATGGCCATAGTGGCTGGGACACTAATGAGCTCTTCTTCTGTCCTTTGGTATCCCTAAATAAGTTTCTTCTCACAAAGAAACAAGCACCAATGTACCTCCTGTCTCCTTTCCCTTTCTGTAATACAGCAGTGACTATTTGCAGGATGCAGCATTTTTTTTCTAATTCTTAATTCTCATATCTTTTTATTCTTATTTTGAGTGATTTGTGGAGTAAAGGTTTTCATGCTTTCTATTGACTGCATCTGTATTAGTACCAAAATTCTCAATATGCTGAACTTCTGCAAAGAAGCATTAGAAATTAAGGTTATTGCAAAATTTGTAACCATGCAGGTTAATTTGCTAGATTCTGGTGTGGTTTTAAAAGCTCAAGCCTCTTGAAGCTGCAATTTCATCTTTAGGTAATTCTATCAAGTAAAGATTTATAAACTCCCATCTCTCATGCCTGGTCACCATATGTTGTTGCTTCAAAGAATGTTGACTTCCCTATTTTCCTCTTCATTTACTTTTCTGCATTTTTCTCCTCTGTGGTAAAACTGAATTAAAACAATTGTTCTATCCAAAAAGAAAAAAGAACATGAAGTGTGGTGAGTTACTCCCCATTTCATCTTTTGGTTATTTAGTCTCTAGAATCTCCGGAAAGGTGAGAAAATCTTCTTACAATTTGGGTTATCTTTTCATTTGCCCCTACAAATGCTACACCTTTTTTCTTTTAGTGGTTCTGTTATGTTTTGATTGTTGTGCCTATGAACCATAACACAGCCTGGCTGAGTCAAAGAAGACAGTGCTGTGTAAAATAGTATGATGTAAGGATTTTTGAAATATACACAGTATTTTTGGGTTTTGGATTTTTGAAATATGCGCTGCACTGAATGAAATAACCTTAACATTGCTGGCTTAGATGGGTCAATTTATTGGTTCTAGCCATTCCTTCCATGCTGAGCAGCGGGATCCTGGTTTTCTATGTGATTGTTTCTGTAGTAAAAGTATAGTTTCCGGTTTAGCAAGCCAGCAATTCCTTCTCAGTAAAAATGTTCAATAAATAAATGTCAAAGTTTCCAGTATATCCTCATTACTCGGCCTCGCTTGTATGTAATTGAAAATGGGAAGAAGGTGCTGTTTGATTTGGCAGTCATCCAGCTCTTTTTTTTTTTTTTTGGATAACCTACTCTCTGGGACAAGGCTGTACACTTGGGAACAGGATTATTGCCTAATAAAATCCTGCAGCCCACTGTCTATTCCTTAATTGCATATTAAAGCAATTAATAAAATTACCTGTATGAAACCAGATTACCAGCTTTATTTTGGATTTGCTGTCTTAATATGGGCCATTGTTACTGGCCAATATGGAAGAAAAGAAATTTCTAATGATTTACTCTAATACATTTTACTGGTAACTTTCTGTAATCCACTTTCTGTAATCATTTTTGGTGTAAAACATTGAGCTAGAAATTAGGATCTACATGACTACAAGATTTTTCAGGTATAAAATCAACTTTTCTTTGCTAGTTTTG